GTTTTACATAAAGTACAAAGGGACTGAAAAAAAGAAACCGAGCAAAATTCTGTTCAAAGAGTATTTCAGGTCCAATGGCAGGTCACTTATCTGAGAAATAAAAACAACTTGACTGCACTCTGCATTTGAAACTGGGAAGAAAACAGACTGCAGTTTGAACTTGTTCCTTTTCTCCATGTTCTCCAACTCCTTCACTTCATCACTCACTGCAGATTGAAATCTTTTCATCACGCACTCTCTGTATCTAAAACAGGCTCTGTGTCCGCTGACTGCCTCTTGACAAAAAAGCATCAGTGCTAACGGCTCTGTAACCTTATGCACAAGCTGTTTCTAATGTAAACTGGTAGACATAAGGAGAAAGAGCTGAAAATAATACTTCACTTCATTAAGAGATGCTTTTTTCTGCATCATAAACAGCATTTTCAGTGCCTAACAAAGGATACAATAAGGCAAAAAATAAACAATTATTATTGATATGCCCATCAATTTGCTTTGCTGTCTCACTGAAGATAATTAAACCACTTTTCATTATACTTCCTCCTTCAGGGTTTCACGTAATTTAGATAGGATTTTTTTCCCCTTCCAATTATTCAGTAGAAAATAAGCATTTGTAGAAGTCACTCCATTACAATTCCGGACAGCCAGCTTAGATAAGTCAGTATAGGTATTTGAAAATTCTTTCACTGTTATGCTTTATTTTTTTCCAGACTACATCTAATGAAATACAAAGACAAAAAAACGAATGATACTTTGTGCATTGCACTTTATGATTTTTCAACAGTATTAATAAGATTAAATAGTATTGCCAAATGTCAAATCTATTCCATCATTACAGTGACACACACGACAGAGTAAGTTAAAAATTATTTCTCCAAAAGTATTAATGGGGATGATGTTATACACATATATTTGCATGTTCACAGTCTTCTCATATTGGCATATTTACCTATTGATGAATTTGTAGTGAGCCTCCAGTATTTTTAAACATTGCCTCTCATTAACAGAAACAATTTACTTCCTTATTGCTCACTTACGACATTATAACTTTTCCAGTACAAGTTCAAGTTTCTATTATAAACCATTTTTTCAACTTGCAGGAAAAGGGAAAAAGCTAATCTGGGTTTTTTGGTTTGGTTTTTTTTTTCCTTTAGACTAAGGAAGGAAGAGCCTCAAGAGAGGTTCTTTCATGAAAATTGAAAAAATATCCCTGCAAAGAGTAATCCTTTTCACTAGTTTGCTCTATTGGTGACCTTTAGAGAGATCTACCAAAGCTAAAGGGAAACTTAATTAGCAGAAAGGGCAGCTGAGAGAACAGGTAGCACGAAGAAAAAAGCTTTTAGTCCTGATTGTACAGGATGAGAATTTTTGAAAGAGGGATGAAATCCTAAGACTGCTTCATAAATGTTGGATACTGGAACTCATCACTCTGGGTTAGCTAAAGATAGAATTAGCCAAGAGAGACACCCTATTCTGAAACTAGTTTTGCATAACAGGAACAATGCTCCATTTAAAGGGAAAAACATCTCATGAGGTGCACAAGAAAGAGACTTGTTCTTGAAGTTTTTACATAAAACGGCTCCAACACTCAAAAAGTATGGTTCTAGAAGCTGTCTTACTAACTTCAATAGAAAAAAATATCTCCCTCTTGATTTTTAAAATGCTTTATAGGTAATTCAAACAGATTAGCCACGTGACTATGACTTGGTATGAACTACAGTCCTCCACAACATGCAACTTAAAGATATAGAGTGTAACCAAAATTTCCTTCCCAGAAAGCATCATTGCAGTTGCAGAAAATGAACCTGAAATAACAGAAGAAAAAAGTCTAGAGCCTGGCAAGTTCTTATGTCCAAACCCATTGAAAAAACAAAACAAAACAAAACATTACTCCTATCTAGATAGAACACCTGTAAAAAGCTTAAACAAGGTTCGAATAATTCTATACGAACAGATGTAAACGTATAAAGTGCTCATGAAAAACTCCATTATGTATTGTATCTCCATGTGTATTCTGTGACTAATAGACCCTTGAGAGGCTCAAGAAGCAGCAATGTTGTTTCATTTTTAAATCATCTTTATGAAATTGTTTTATAACTACACCAGGGTGGTATATCATCATGAATGTTTTCAAACATCTGTCTTTGCATTCACTCAAAAAAAACTCCTTTGTTATTTGTATATAAAATCTGAATGCAACTTACTGCAGACATTTTAGAGATGACCACTCAAACCTCAGACATCTTCAACTTTTTTTGGAGGGGGTGGGGGGGGAAATCAGAAAGATATTTTCCAAATAGCTTTAAAGAATGTGCTTCCCCTAAATCCAACATGTAACATGAAATAAAGTAGTGAAGAATCATTGCCATGGTCCTCAGTGCTCTAATGCCACACTTATTAGAACAAGATGTTAAAACGTCATTTTATTTTGCCATCAATCTACAGTATAATTCTAAAAAGTAAGAGCTACTGCACAAGGACGCTCTGATCCTGCAGTTAACATTACCATGAAGAAGCTCTAAGAATAATTTAGAACTTGTTGAAAGTGTAAATATCTTTATCAACAAGGTAAAGGAGGACTGCACTGTACTTGTTGGGATGCACTATGATCCCAGGATTTTATGTGCACATCACATCTTTACCTGTAGCAGTTTGTACTGGATGCCAGCCCTAGGTGCATACAGAACACTAACTGCAGGAGAACTTTGCATCCACGTGGCAGTGGTGAGCTCTAGACAGTGCTCAACTGTCTAGAAAACTGGTGGACAACTTCAAATGTGGTTCTATCAGGAGGGAAACTACTTTGAGCCCACAAGTATTACACTCCAGTGTATCCCATAAGGAAAATTTGCACCAAAAAACACATCCTTGACTCAAAGTACAAAGAGCCATGCCAAAAATACTGAAGGAATGAAGCACAATTCATTTTGGAATTTTACCTCTACAAATAAATTTTACTCTGAGACAATAATCTTTGAACACCCTTGCTAACAATTAGGGTGAAGAGAAAGGAAAAGAAATAATGAGTATGGGATCATTTGAGCTTCTGTTGCTCCCATGGACATGCCACATACTGTTACAAATTAACAGGAACATAATAAGTCAGTGAAGTCAGCAATGCAGCATAACCTGAGTAATACAGCCTGAAACAGAACATAGAAAGGAAAAAATAAAAACAAACCCCAAACCCTTAGTTTTTGAGGCAGTCAGAAAAGGCTCAAAGCCTCACAACATGTCAGTGACAGAGCAGTAGCCTACAAAGAGCTGTGGCGCAGAATCATCACACTGTTCTCTACAGGACAGAGATCCTGGCTATTCCAGGGTTAAAGAGAGAGTCCGTAGCCTGTAACTGTATGGTAATCCTCTGGGAAAAGCGAAGCAGGAATAGAAACAGGACCTTGAGGCAAGGTTCTTACACACTTCAGCAGTTCTACAGGTTTTACCAGCAGGATGTATTATTAAGTCTACCTGCAGAAGAGTTAAAGCTTTATTTAAAAAAAAAAAAAAAAAAAAAAAGACATGCACATAAAAATATAGAGAAATCACATACATGAAAGAGAACAGTTGGAAATGAACCCCCTCTATGCCTAACCATAGAACACCACTGAATCACACAGGCTTGAAATCCTTTGATTATGAAAATCTGTAAGAAATATTCCTTTGTACTTGTCATAAGTCTCTAAATCACCACTGAATCAATAATCAGAATTTTTTTTCATTTCTTTAAAATATAGTGAAACCTTCTGACAGCTACAAAAGGCTGTGCAGCACCATTAGACTGGCTGAAAACCCATAACAGGGCTCCTGAAACTACCCAGTTATTTTTGTGAGGAAAACAGCCAGCAGTATTGTATGGAATAATTTTTTAATCAAATTTCATCACTTCAACAAATTTGCTTATTCTTCAGCATAAATACCTACTATCTCTCACTTGACGCACCCATACAAAACTCCGTATGATGTTCTCTGGGACCAACGACTCATCCCAGTAGAACAACCAGATTTTTAACTCAGAATGACTAAATGTTCCCTTCCCAGAATCCTTCAGATTTGTGTTTGGAACAAATACCCAGGCGGAAGCCCTAATAATTCATACACATGCATGATTTTCATACATTCCGCTGTACGCTCAGAAGACATCACCCTGAGATGAGAAAAACGTTCCCACCCGATGATGTGCACACACCCTCACCCTGCACCACGGAATCCAGGCGTTCTCTGCCCGAGGAAGCGCGGCTGTGCCACGGAGCAGCACGGGAGCGCCCAGCGCTAACAGGCAGGCTGCTGCCCCACCGCCTGGTCGCCACCTGCATTGTTTCATCGCCAGAACGTATTTTAAGATGGAGGGATGGATCCTTAAATGGGTAGTTTTAGTTCTTCCCTAAATTCTAAAATGTTCAGTTCAATATGATGGGAAGTTCTTGGGAGAGCTCCTCCAATATTCAAGGTATTACCACCTTACATTTCCTCTGAATAAAATCCACTCCGTTTTATGAGATAGTTAAATCTAAATAAGGTAATGACCGAAAGCTGTGTTTCATACAATTAACAGAATATGGAGCTGATAAAGTTATTTGTTTAAGCTAGCAAATTTTCAGGACAACCTGTTGGAAACTTACCAAATTACTATCCCAGAGACTTGAGGGGAAAAAGAGGAACAAAAGCATTCAACTAGGTGAGGACTGAAACACACAGCCATCCAAACTATAAAAAAAAAATGCTCTTTCCAAGGAAGTCACAAAAAAAAAAAAAGTCAGACATGAAGCTGTCTGTAATATGCAACAATGATCCTGCATGTACACCTGTGTAATGGGATGCTTTCAGTTTAAGTTGGTAAAATACAATGAGGGGATAACAATATATATTACTAAACCATTCCACACTAAACAACCTTGAATGATTACAAAACATTGCAGTCCCCAGTGCTATGAAAAGCAGGTTTCTCTATTGTCTAGAAATCGAAAAGAATAAATTAACTTCGGCTGGATAAAAAGCGTTTTATCTTTTTCTACTGCAAAGACAGCCTTGAAAAAATAAAAGAAAAAAAATAGGGCTGTGACAAGTGGTGACAGAGCAGCTCTAGTAAATAGGCTCGGTAACCTTCACCATACTCTTAAAACCTCTGACAATTTTTCTGTACTGATCTCCACATACTTCCTACACAATGCATTACACAATCTATCTACCCGTTCATTCACAATTTTTATTCTCAATGCCCAAATTAAATCTCCTCTTTCTTAACAATGTTGGTCTTGTCCTGCCTAAATTGGATCTGTTTGCAGCAACCTTTCTACTTAAGGGAACATTGCTATCCAGGCTTCCCCAAAGTGTCCTCTTCACTAGCGGGGGGATAAAAAAAAAAAAGAGAATAAGGTCCTCCAAAGCTTCCTCCTAGGTCATATCTTTTAGACTTCACATTTTTCTTTATTCCTTTCCTCTGAACTTTTCCCTGTCTGGTCCAATCTAGCAGAAGTAGAACCAGCTCTTCAGTGTTATTACATTGCTAATTGATACTTTCTCATCCATTAAGCTGCCAGTTCCCGTCTATAAAATTGCACCTTAACCAGTCACACACCTCTGCAGATTTTTTCCTAAATAAATGTCATTGCGTTATATTTGACCTTGAATTACATCTTACTCCAGGCTGTTTCTCCTATTTGTTGAGACTGTGTTCTGTGCTCCACCCTCCTGCTTACCCTTTTGGTTTAGCAGTGTCTGCAAATTTTAACACTGTATATTTTACTCCTTCATCAGAATTATTAATAGAAACACTGAACATGAGTAGATACAGAATAACACCTTGCAGAATCCCATTTAACAAACACCAGTTTGACACTGAACCAACCCCAAAGAAGTTTCCAACCACTTATTCACACGCTTTTCAAGAGGCTTAATCTAAATCAATACACTCAAAATAAAATAATCCACACTTCATTCACAATCAGTTGGTGCCTCTTCACAACTCATCGCAGCAGAGCAACTCCTGAGAAGGGAAGCTCTTACACATCCTTAGTAATTAAGTACAGCTCACAAACGGATGAGCATTAATCTAAATAAGTTTTTTTCCTAGTTGCTTTTGAGAATATTAACATAAAAACATCAAAAGATCTATTGTGTTCAAGATCCAGAAATTTGTTCTTCTCTTATCTGCACAAGCTCTGTTACAGTGTTCTAAAGGAAATCAAATGTATCTTATTTGAAAAATCCAAGCTTTTGTTATCATGCCTGTGAACAGATTGCTTTTTGCAGTTGCTTAGACTGTAAAGATTTAGCTCATGCTAATTACGAAAAACGTATCTGATGTTGACAGCATTTCTTCTGTCATGATGCTCACAGTTCTCTTAGATCAGTTCTACATGTGCATGGACCACAAGACCAAAGAGATAATAAACACCAAATAAATGTGATGTCATCTTGAGACTAATCATAAATAAGAAAGACTGCACTAAAATCAGTCTGTTAACCTCCATTCTTTAACAATAAAAACGTTTACTGCAACCAATGCCCAAAGCCAGAAAAGGAACATTGAAATAGACCTGCCCATTCCAACTGCACTGAAGTAACAGCATGAAATCACACACACACTCAGGTTATCACTGAAAAGAAAGTTAAAATAATACTTTGTAAATTGTAAATGTAATAAAAATAAAGGACAAAAGAGTCTCCTTAAACCACTCACAAAAGGATGTGGTCAAGGACCATCAAAATAAAAGCCAGTGTCATGTCCACAATTTCAGAAAGTTGTTTTTCTTTTAATAGATTATATTTCTCAGAGAGAGCAATTTAAAAATTCCGACTGTACATAGAATCATAGAATCGTTAGGGCTGGAAGGGACCCTCACAGGTCATCTAGTCCAACCCCCCTGCAAGGAACAGGGACATCTCCAACGAGATCAGGTTGCTCAGGGCCT